TCCTCGGGTGAGGATAAAAAAAAAAAAAAAATTTCTGGAGGACTTCAAAGGAGAACTCAACAGCAATATAATCATAGCAGCAGACTTCAACACCCCACTGACATCACTGGATAGATGCTCTAAACAAAAAAATTAACAAGGAAATAGAGACTCTAAGCAAAGCACTGGATCAGATGGCTTTAATAGATTTTAAAGAGAATTATACCCTAAAACTGCAGAATTCACATTCTTCTCAAGTGCACATGGGACATTCTCAAAGATTGACCACATGTTAGGACTCAAATTAAGTCTCTACAAGTTCAAAAAGACTGAAATCCTATCAAGCATTTTCACAGATCACAATGGCATGAAACTAGAAATCAATTACAATAAAAACACTAAAAAACATTCAAACATATGAAGACTAAATAGCATGCCATTAAATAATGAATGGGTTACCAATGAGATTAAAGGAGAAATTAAAAACATGCTGGAAAACAATGAAAATGAACACATAGCAACACACAATCTATGGGACTCAGTGAAAGCCGTCCTGAGAGAGAAGTTCATAGCACTACAGGTCTACCTCAAGAAACAAAAAAAAATTCCTAATTGACTAATCCTACAACTTAAAGAACTAGAAAGTAAACAAAAAGGCAAACCCAGAGCAAGTGGAAGGAAAGAAATAGTAAAGGTCAGAGCAGAAATAAATGACATAGAGACTAAAAGAAACAATTCAAAAGATAAAAACGAAGAGCTGGTTCTTTGAAAAGATAAACAAGATTGATGGACCCTTAGCCAGATTCACCAAGAAAAATAGAGAGAAAACCCAAATAAATAAAATCAGAAATGGAAGTGGCAAAGTAACAACTGACACCACAGAAATACAAAGATTATTAAAAAATACTATAAACAATGACACACCAACAAATTGGACAATCTAGGCAAAATGGACCAATTTCTAAAATCATACAGTCCCAAAAACTGAACCAGGAAAAGAGAGAAAACATGAATGGACCAAAAGCAACTAAGGAAATTGAAGATGTAATCAAGAAACTCGCAGCAAACAAAAGCCCAGGCCCAGAATGCTTCATGGGGAAGTTTTACCAAATATTCAATGATCTAACACCCATTTTCCTCAAACTATTCCAAAAACTTAAAGAAGAAGGAAGACTTCCAAACTCATTTTATGAGGCCAGAATAATTCTAATTCCAAAAACAGAAAAAGACACTAGAAAGAAAAAAAAAACTACAGGCCAATATCCCTGATGAACATAGATTCCTAAATCCTTAACAAAATATTAGCAAATCGGATCTAGCAACACATTAAAAAAATTATTCATCATGACCAAGTGGGATTCATCCCAGGGATGCAAGGCTGATAGAATATATGCATATCAATAAATATGATATACCACATAAACAAAATAAAAGCTAAAAACCGTATGATCATATCAATAAACACTGAAAAAGCATTCAACAAAATCCAGCACCCATTTCTGATAAAAAAAAAAGCTCAGCAATATGGGAATGGAGGGATCATATTTCAACATAAAGAGGCCATATTTTAAAAAACCTACAACCAACATCATACTCAGTGGGCAAAAACAAAAAGTATTTCCCTTAAGAACAGGAATAAGACATGGATGCCCACTTTCACTACTGTTATTTAACATAGTACTGGAAGTCTTAGCCACAGCAATCAGACAAGAAGAAAAACAAAAAGGGGATCCAAATTGGAAAGGAGGGTGTGAAACTGTCATTATTTGCAGATGGCGTAATATTGTACATAGAAAACCCTAAAGACTCCATAAAAAAATCTACTAGATTTAATAAGTGAATTTGGCAAAGCAGCAGGATACAAAATTAATGTCAAGAAATCAATGGCATTCTTATACACCAATAATGAACTCACAGAAAGAGAAACTGAAAAAACAATCCCATTTATCATTGCAACAACAAAAAAATTAAGATAGCTAGGAATAAACTTAACCATAGAAGTAAAGGACCTCTTTTCAGAAAAGTATAGGACATTAGAAAAAGAAATAGAGGAAGATTTTAAAAAGTGGAAGAATATACCTTATTTATGCATTAGAAGAATTAACATCATTAAAATGTCCATACTACCCAAAGCAATCTATAGATTCAATTAAATTCCCATCAAAATATCAACAACATACTTCACAGAACTAGAACAAATACTTCAAAAGTTCATATGGAACCAAAAAAGACCCCGAATAGCCACAGCAATCTTGAAAAAGAAGAACAAAGTAGGAGGGATCGCAATACTGGATATCAGGTTATACTACATAGCCACTGTAATCAAAACAGCCTGGTACTGGCACAAGAATAGGTATATCAATCAGTGAAACAAAACAGAAAACCCAGAAATTGACCAAGACATTATGTTCAATTAATAGTTGACAAAGGTGGTAAGAGCATACAATGGAGAAGACAGCCTCTTTAATAAATGGTGTTGGGAAAATTAGACAGCTACACGCAAAAAAAATGAACCTAGACCGCCAACTTACACCATACACAAGAATAAACTCAAAATGGATGAAAGACTTAAATGCGACTTGTGAATCCATAAAAATCCTAGAAGAAAATGTAGGCAGCAAAATATCAGACATCAAATGCAGTAGAATTTTCACTGATACAACACCTAAGGCAAGAGAAACAAAGGAGAAAATGAATACATGGGACTACATCAAACTAAAAAGCTTCTGCATAGCAAAAGAAACAAGCATCAAAATGGAAAGGGAACCCACTGTATTGGAGAGCATAATTGCCAATGATATATCAGATAAGGGGTTAATTTCCAATATATATAGAGTGCTCATACAACTCAACAAAAGGAAGACACAGAACCCAATTAAAAAATGGGCAGAGGACCTAAATAGACACCTCTCCAAACAAGACATACAAATGGTCAAGAGACATATGAAAAAATGCTCAACATCACTAATCATCAGAGAAATTCACATTAAAACAACAATGAGGTATCACCTCACACCTGCCAGAATGGCTGCCATCAACAAGTCATCAAACAACAAATGCTGGAGTGGGTGTGGAGAAAAGGGGACTCTAGTACACTGCTGGTGGGAATGTAAACTGGTGCAGCCACTATGAAAAACAATATGGTGTTACCTCAAAAAATCAAAAATGGAAATGCCATTTGACCCAGTGATCCCACTTCTAGGAATATATCCTAAGAAGCCTGAAGCATCAATCAGAAGGAATATATGCACCCCTATGTTCGTAGCAGCATTATTTACAATAGCTAAGATCTGGAAACAACCAAGTGTCCATCAGTAGACAAAAGGATAAAAAAGCAGTGGTACATATACACAATGGAGTACTATGCAGCTGTAAGAAAGAAAGATCTCTTATCTTTTGAGACGACATGGAGGGATCTGGAGAGTATTATGCTAAGCAAAATAAGCCAAGCAGAGAAAGACAAATACCACATTTCCTCACTTATTTGTGGAATATAATGAACAAAATAAGCGGATGAACAAAATAGACCCAGAGACATAGAATTAGGGTACAGACTGACAAACCTCAGAGGAAGGGAGCAGGGGAGGGTGTTTGTGTATGTGTGTGTGTGTGCGTGTTAAACCAAAGAACTTAAATATATGTATGCGTAGCCAGTGGACACAGACAACAGTGCTGTGAGGGGACAGGATCAGGAGGAGGGTGTTGGGAGGAAAAAGTAGAAACATCTGTAACAAAAACAAATTAATTAAAAAAAAATCCTTATCCTGTTGGAATGATGTAAGGAAGGAGGCGGCACTGCCATTCAAGCCAGAAGGCTGTCCTTGGTGGAGACAGCTGGGAAGCACAGGCTGTCTGCCCTTGGTTTCCATCGCCATTAGGAGGCCTCTGAGTTTAGCTCACTGGAAGTCCCCCGCTTATTCCTGGCTGAAGCTGGAGTGAGTCTACAGTCTGTGCAGCCGCAGATGTGACGTGGTGAGCCACGCAGCCTATGTCCCGGATGCCCCAACGATGCTCCTGTTACGCAGGTGCTGCCCACATAGGACCGCAAGCCCCGTTGCACAAGTAGATGGTTGGCTGTAGCTGGCCCCTCTGGGGCCTGTAGGTGAGGATCCAGGACTACAAGCACCTGAGCCTATGCCTGGACCTGTCACCTCCCTGCACTCAGACAGCTCCTACTCACCTGATGCTGGCCTATCTGATGTTGACAGGCCTCCTGATGCCCGCCCCCTCACTGTGCCCCAGACACACAATGCATGTGACTAGTGGCTGCAAGATGCCTTCCTTATCAGACTCTGAAGGGCTGGGGGTGGGAGACGGGACATGCAAAAAGCTCAGAAACTCACCCCTTGAGAAAGTACTCAGACTACAGTGCTTGCTTTGACCCATATCACCTCACTTCACAGGAGGGCATGGCCTGGGTCCCTCAGAGGCAAAACTGCCACAACTGCACTCTCCTGTCTTGAGTTAGCTGGCACAAGGGCAGGCACCCAGGCTACAGCCTCTGTCCATGGCACTGGACCTCCACTTCTGCCACGTGTGTACTCTCCAGCTTTGCCAACCTTCAGTTTGGAAGTGGGATTCAATGAATCTTGACTCCCCTTGGCATCTCTGGGGTTGAGATGAGTACCTGGCTCCTACCTACTTCTCACCTTTTGCTGCTATTGACAGATGCTGGCATGGCTCACCACTTGTTCCTGGGTTCCACTGCCTAAACAAGGACTGCAGGACCTATTCCTGCAACCACTCACAGCAGGGAGTGCCAAGATTCTGTGATGGGTATTTAGGTTTAGGGGCCAGCCTATAAACTTAGTGTCAAATGCTTTTGTGGACAGATGAAAGGTACTTAACAACTTATGGATACCATGTGAGTGCCAATACAAAAGTATTCATAACTAGGCTATAGAAGAAATACAATTTATAAACTTTGGTGCAAAAAAAAAAAAAAGGTAGTTTTTAATCCTCTGCAAGGCATTTTAGCAAACCTTAAAATACTATGTGAAAGCACAGAATAATTATCTTACCTGCATACATCTTTCAGCAACGTTGCCCCTTTTAGGTTCAATTCTAAAATTTGCAGTTTTTCTAAAGTTGTACGTCACAGGCAGTGATTTGGATAGATTTTCCATAATAAACGAAATCTCTGAATGTTCACCAATGGTACAAGGCGTAAAGTTAAGAACGTTTCCTGAATCAAACTGTATTTTAACAGGAAGTCCTGACCCTGTCAGTGCTAATTCCAGTTTCTGAAATCGATCATCTGTAAAAACAACAGTAGCTTTTTAACATAAAAAGTGTCTTGGGAGTCCAAAACATACAGTATTTGCTCAGTCCAAACAGTGTCATATTTAAGACTTGATGAGATGTAGGTAGCTCATTCAATCTTTCGTTCAACAAAAATGGTGAGTGCCTTCTCTGTGCCAAGTACTCTTCTAGGCCTTGGGGATAACAGCAGTGAATAAAATAGACAATGTTCCTGCTCTCATGGACTTTACATTCTAGTGAGGTGACACTGACAATAAAATAAATAAATAAATATATACCATTTCAGAAGCGGTAAGTGCTATGGAGAAAAGTAATGTAGGGTGAAGGGGAGCAGAATTTGTCACTCCCAAATATGCCTCTTTGGCATAAGGGATACTTTTTAGAAACAGCAGACAGGAAAAGCTCTGAAAACCTAATAGAAGTTACCCTTTTTAAGAGACATTACATTAATAAGGGAAATACCCATTTGTAAGAATGTCTTCCTCTCTGTACCTGGAAGGAATGCTTATCAATGGAGAAGGCAGAGATTTAAATCTGCATAACAACCTTATCCTCTTTTACTGTAGTCTGGCTGAAAACCTCCCATAATTGGCTCCTCACCCCCAACATTTCTCTCTTTAGCTGAAGGTGGTATTTAAGGTGGTGGCTTGGGGCTATTTCAGTTACTCAGTTTTCCTGGGTATCCCCCATGTATGCTGAAAATATACATGTTATTAAACTTCTGTTTATTTTTTCCTGTTATCTGTCTTTTATTACAGGGGTTTCAACCAAGAATTTAGAAGAGTAGAAGGAAAATTATTTTTCTTCCCCTACAAGGGTAAGACAGAGCACATCATCTTGGAGCTGTTCTTTTATATGGGGAGGATCCAAAAAAGGCATCTCTGACAGGGAGACATCTGAGCAAAACTATAAAGAGACTCTGAAAGAAAATCTAGTAAAAGTGCACTCCTAGTAGAATAGCAAGAACAAAGACTCTAAGGTAAGAATGTGCTTGGCCTGTTCCAAAAATCATAAGGAATTAAATATATCTTGGTAAGAGTAGTAGAAGTGATGCCATTGCAATAATCTGGTCATTATTTAACAGAAAAGGAGTAAATGGGAGACTAGCAGTTTAACGCTCCAGGTCTGCTCCCCAACCCCCAGAAGAACTGGAGAAGGGACTGGACATAGGCAGTTTAGACGCATGCCCAGTAAGGTCTCAGTGATGTCAGAAGGTGCTTACCGGCCTGTCACACCTGGGAGAGAGTCAGTGGCCAGAATAGGCATGGCCTCTGCAAGCAAGAGACACCTGAATATTTCATCTCCTAGACGAAGAAATGCTCTTTCTCTCTCTCCTTCTCTTGGTGCTTGGCACTCCTGCCCTCTTGGGACTCCTGTTGCAGGGGTAGGGTTCCTGTGAATTTGCCCACATAACTATGAGCCCACAATGGATTAATGGACTGAATCTAGACTGACGCTGATCTGGACCCAGTTTCATCATGCAACACACACTCTGGACACTGGCTCTGTTTCTAGTTCTACTGAACCCACAGCTGCCGTTTTTCCAGGAATGGGTTAAGGAAACTGGGACATTACAACCCCAGAAATATAACTCCATGCCGATAAAGACTCCCATGTGAGTCTTAGAAAATTCCTTTTTCTGAAGACATTGCAAAAGCCACCCCACTCCCACGACTGTCGGAGAGATCTGGCCCACTCACCTCTCTCTCTGGTATCAAATGGATAGTGAAAAATGGTCAGATTTAAGATATATATTTTTTATTGATTGATTTTAGAGAGACAGAAAGGGAGAGAGATTTGTTGTTCCACCCATTTATGCACTCATAAGTTGCTTCTTGTATGTCCCCTGACCAAGGATCAAACCTGCTACCTTGGCATATCAAGATAATGCTCTAACCAACTGAGCTACTTGGCCAGGGCTAAGACATATTTTTGAGGGTAGAGCTAACAAATTTTGCTAATGGACTGGATGTAGAATATGAAATTAAACACATGATCAATGATGATGCTAAGGTTTTTGGCCTAAGCAACTGAAGTGATGAAATTGCTACTTCTTGAGACAGGAAAGAATGCAGGAGGGACAGGTGATGGGGAAGCCAGTTCTTTTAGGGGCATGTTAAGTTTGAGATGCCTAGTAGACATCCAAGTGAAAATATCTACTAGGTATTTACAAGTTTAGAGTAAAGATGAAGGAGGAAGCATTGAAGGTTCTAGGTGAAAAGAGAAGGTATGTGATATTAATGTCATACTGTATTGTGAAAAGGTGAATGAATGGAGGAATGCAATAGGAAATGGCAACGAGCTTTAAGGACCCACTTGAGTTTAATGATTATATAAAGTGAAACATCACAGTATGGTTTTGTGTTTTTCTCCATCACAATTAACTTCCCAGGTGCACACATGGAGTTGGCTGAGATTAAAGATTTTCCACTCAGCCACTTTGGAGATGGGCCAAGATGTATTAAGTGTACATGGGAAAAGGTAGCTAAAATAATGGAAATGAAATATAAGCTGGGAAATAACAGAAACATGAACTTTTGGAGAGACTAGAAAGAAGGTAGGAGCTATGAATTGTATGTTCTAATTGGGTGAAAGAGCAGTGTTGCAGAGAGAGCAATGTAACTAGAATCCAAAAAAAAAAAAGGTTTGTATTTCTGCACTGATGCTCTTACTAGCCAATCCTAAACTCAAAATTACCTTTAAGGCAAACCTAGCATCTCCATCTCTAGCCATTCAAAACTAGATCAATTTGCAATCCTTGAACAAATATTCTCTCAATGATCAGCAGTCAGAGCTCAATATCATAAACCATTGCATAATAGTAACAGAGCAATCGATTTCTGCCCTGAGAACACAGTTCAACCCTGCTCAATAATATATATCACTGTACTGACATGCAAATCTTTCAGACTCTTGACTTGCCATGGCTCATCTTTCTGGATTTGATCCCTCATCTGCCTATATCTTTATTTTCTCTTTGATCTGTCTTGTTAAGCTGACCTCCAACTCCTGTTCCATTTTTGTTTATTGCAGCCCATCCAATATAACCTGGGAATGTAGTAAGTGCAATATATCTTGACATGTGGGTTGTAAAGCATATGACCTTATCAATATCCCATAACAGGATACTGAACCCTATTTACCAGAGTTCTAGGTGTTGTTCTTGAACTATTAATATAGATTCTGAGAACTGATGATCTGGTAGAGATAGAATGGGTCATCTGTTCCCATATCAATCTCTAAGAGACAACCTAGGATTACATAGGAAAAGCCAGGTTGGTTTTGTTTTTTGTTGTTCACTACTTAAACTATACATCAGAGAGTTTCAACCTTTTCACCTCATGACACACATAAACTAATTACTAAAATTATTTGGCATACCAAAAAATACATTATACTTTTTGCTGATCTGACAAAAAAATAGGTATAATTTTGATTCATTCACACCGGGCCGCTATTGTTGTGTTGTCTGTTGTCATTTTTTTTATTTGACAATCTAAAGGAATAGAGATTAGTGCTCCTGAATGGTCAGGTATCATATATTTTAAAAATTTGCAGCATACCAGTGTGCCTTCCGCGGCTCACTAGTTGAAAATGGCTGCTCTAGAACATCATGTTTATCTAATGTTATTTAAAAATAATAATTTTCCCAAAATTATCGTTGGAAGATTACTATGTAAATGATTCTAAGGTTGATTTTTTTTTTCTTTACATGCCTCAGAAGACATTTTAAGGTCTCTAAATTGTTTGCATTTTTGTTCTATTCAATTATTATATACTTTTATTATATTGCCTCTACAAGTATTGATGTCCAAACTTTTAAACAATTTAAACTGCTATACATTTGCTGATTACATTCATTTCACACTTACGTTTGACGGTTTTAGAGTTATCATCTCTCAAAAACCCATCCTTACTTCCGACAGAGTCAAATCTTATAAAGACAACATAGTCTTGCCTGTGTGAAGGGTCATTATCCGTTTTACTATCAGCGGCTAGCCTGTAAAAAATTACAATGTTATTTTTAAAGCAAACATAATATACTTGTTACCTCTCACAAGGGAATATCAAGTGAATCCTTAAATCTATTCAAACAGATGAAAGTTCAGGAATAAAAATATGACTGTGATCCATTTTCCAATATTACTGCATAGACATAGAGACTGGCCAAAAGAAGGCCACAAAAGGTAAATACCCAAAAACTGAGTTCATGACAACATTTGCAAGACAAGAGTAATTTAAAAACTAAGTCATCAAGGTGCAACTCCAATGCCACTTTCTATGTAAAGGCTTTTCTTTCTATGCAGAGTTCATTGCTGGCTAAGGACTTTGTTTGATTCTCTAATATAGTCCTTTTTACACCAGGACGTAATTGCACACCTCTGTTACATAACTATTCTTCACGTAAATTAAGCACCTATTGCTAGCCACACTTTTGTTAGAGGAGATCAGGTAATTTGGAGAACAAGATTTGGAGAAAAGGCAAGGAAAAGTGGGAAGAAGAGAAGTGGGACCAAAGAGAGATGGGCTACATCACAGGCCTGCGCACTGGCACTCTTTACTTGCCTTAACTAGAGGTCAGCTTGTTTAGCAGTGGATACTCAAATACGTACACAAAAGGCTGGTGTGAAATGTTACATAAGTGCAAACAGAATGTTGAGAACACATGTAAATAAGACTTTAATTCATACTCATATATATGAGTTTATGCTAGACTCTCAAAGTTACAATGCTACCATCTGTAATATTTTCAACAATATACAGTTTAAAAAATATGTACTTAAATTTCAAAGATTGTATATTAAACAGTCAAACAGATTCACCAAAGAAATTTTCTGTTTGAAGATATGATGAATAAGGCAAGTATAGATTGCATAAATAGAATAATTACTTGATGTACTCCCCTCCTTAACCCAACTCAGTTTTCAGCAAACAACTGGTATCACCAAGGGACTCTACAGCCACAGAAAGGACAGTAACCATTCCTTGCCTTCTCACAAACAAGGGTAAACATATGTACAATTAAATGGGTTATTGCAACACACTACAACCTCTCAAGGGTTGCTGAAATTGCTACTACATATTTAAAACAGCATTTCCAAATATATTTTCAAACTAAATAACCAAACCAAGGGCTCAGAATTGTGAAGAATATCCATTGGCCAAAGTCCTCAAACTCTGTATGAATTTCAGCAACCAACTGTGGTTGATCCCAGCAACTGCTATAGGCTTAATATTCACGATACTCAGTCAGCAAGCATTTTGCCCATACAGGAGCACTGACTACATCCTCTTTGGAGGCACCTAGAACACACTGCATGCCACTGGCCATAACCTGACTATTTCTGCAGGGACAACAAGGTCTTGGTTGCACAGACCGTTTTGAAGCGACAATCCAAAACTATTCAAAATTTCCACTTCTACCACCCCATTTCCACAAGGTCTGGAGAGATTTTTAATTTAACATGAAGTATTGAGAACCATATTTTTAAATATTGGAAATAATATTAAGCGTGTTAGAAATACTTAGAACCATAATAAGAAAAATCTGATTTGTGCCTTCTGACAAGTTTTAATGTTTAAGTCAATCTGATGAGTGTATGGTTAATATTCTCTCCATTAATAAGTAACATCACAATGAAATAAATTTTTGCTTACTTTGGGCTGAAACAAAATGTAATTTTAGTCTTTTGATAAGGTAGTAACCTCCCTTCGTTAGGAACACAGGAGATAAAAGTGGTAATATCTATGTTCCTTATTTGTCTTAAGTAGCTGAGATTGTTTATAGCAACATCTGTTCTTTGTAGAATATTTGTACCCTGTAATATAAAACCAGAAATAAAAGAATATTAAGGCAAAACACTAACAAAATAAAACATTTTAAGAGGTCATAAAATAGTTATAGAAATTCCAGCATCTAGAAGACAGTATGTGTGTCTTTAAAGTAATACACATAAATTTGATCAAGGTATGTCATAAAATTTAAAGAACTTTTAAAAAACTGATGAAAGCAGAAACCTCTCAATTAGCCACTGATTTATAAAAACACTTGTTTGATTTACTTCAGATATATTACTATCAATGTTAGTTTAATTTACTGGACATTTTCAGGTTACTCTTGAAGATACATGAAATGAAATTTTATCTATCTGCGTGTTAAAACATATTTAAAATAATTAAACAATTAAACGGTTTGTTAGGAAGATGGATTGAGAATTAGTTTTCCCATCTTCTCGAGCTAGGCCTTCTTGATCAATAAACCTTTTCTTGCTCTTAAAAAAAAACAACAACAACAGCTTGTTGGTTATTAGTAAGTTCAAAACAATCTGTTTCAAAACAAAGTACCTGGTGTACTATTTACTTACCAATTCTTCTCCAACTGAATCATTTTGTATTATAGCCACCCAATTTATAAGTTCTGGGCTATTATTGTACAGAAGTGCATGTTCCATCTTTGATGTTCCAAAGAAAGTAGAACCAAAGTGTATACATTCCACCTTTTTATTATCATTCATGTTTAACAATTCAATAATCTGCTCAACCACATGAACTTTGATATTCAAGAATATGTCTGGACGACCTTGCAAACTCACTCTATAAGACAATGAATTATACATATATATGTAATTAGCATTCTATATACTCCTTCTCCTAAATATTTACATAAACAGGACTTTGATAAAATCACATTATAATTAAAATTCACAGGCTTAACAGCAGTTCCTTTCACATACGTGGGAGAGACTGTCATGTCCTCTGTCTGAATCTGCACAGTAGAATGGCATATGTGCAACCTAATTCACTGTCTAAACAACAAAGTAGGGAAACAACTGCAGGAACTGACCCCAAGGAGAACTTATTGGTATGTCCATATCACCCATTATTTTATAAATACTAGAGATAGATGGGATAATTTATACCTCTATTTCTAGAATTCTGACATTCTTTTTTAACTCATCCTACTCAACAAGGTACACAAATGGGGAGTATGGGATCATACCCGTCCTAATAACCCAATTCCCTACAAAGTGAAGTATCTCAGCAAAATCCCACTCTTTGCTGAAATGAATATACCTCCCCATAAAACTTCATTTCCCAGATTAATTTGAATTCCCTTTTGAAATTGCCCCCCCCCCCCCGATTTATCTTTCTCCGGCCCAAATGCAATCCTTTTGAATCTCGGCCCATCAAATACCACAAACAACTGACCACTCCACAACCTAAGTCCTTATCTTACACTCTCTGTCACACTGGAGATGGACGATACCATCTCTTGGCACATCTCTCCTCCATACTTTCCTGGTTTTCTTCTAACTTATTCAGACTCTACCTTTTTATTCTTCTAAGACTTGGATATTTTATAAACTCCATGACTAATGGTATTTCTCTCCTACTCTTTCATATTCTATCCTCCTCAAAGTTATTTTCATCACTTCATGCTTCATCGACAACTTATCCACTGACAACCCTCAAGCCAATATACCTAGACCAATTTTTTTTTTCTGGTACTTGGGCTAAGTAACTCTAATAGGCTTCACAGTATGCAAAGCAAATCAATTCCAACATTTCAAAACTGAACTCAGATCTTCTCCCACAGACCTGTCTTTCTCTTTCTTTCTCTTTCTATAACCAGTCACTAAATCTAGTCAAATCTACCTCCATAACATACCTCTAATCTACAGAATTCTCTGCATACTCCCAATTTGTATCTTAGCCGATGCCTTTATCATTTCTCTTTTGCTTTATTATTATAGATTCTAGTCAGGCTAACCATTCCACATCTGTACTCCCTGATTTGTTTTGAACACTGCTATTAGCATGACCTTTCTAAAATGCAAACTAATTAAGACACTTGCATCTTAAAACCTTCTTGAGATTCCACAGCCTTCATAATAAAATCTAAACTATCAGGGCTTACAACTGTTTCTCAAATTTTTTTTTTCAGCTGTGACCTTCAATAGAAAATATATTTTATATTCCAAAGTAGGAAGCACAGACACACACACAGTTATATAAAACAACATTTGCCCTTATTAGGTGAGATGCATTCTGATATTTTCTATTCCTTTGTTTTAATACTGGTGGTACCCTATTGTAGTGATTGCATATCCCACTAATGAACTGAGACATACAGCATTAAATAACACTGTCCTATGAGGTCCTTTACTGGACCCTACACCATTGTTTTCCTGGTCTGATCTCACATCACTCCTTACCGCCATCTCTTTGCCTCTACATTCCTCATATCTCTCAGCATGTAACACTGTCTATTCACCTCTAGGAGTTCAAGTATTCTACTTGCTCTGCCTGAAATCACTCCTCTAACCCACTCTTATCACCAACACTCATCTCCCCCCCCCCACACACACACACACACACATGCTCAGCCCAAATCACGCCACTGCACTTCCTTAGTGGAGCCCTTACTTAATCCACTCCCTCACCCCCACAAAATCCAAACTAGGAACTCCTGTTATGTATACCCAATATGCCATCCTCTGGTTCTCCCCATTTTTGAATCCCTAGTGCTAAGCAAATATTAGAGATTCAGTGAATTAATGCTGGCTGAAAAAACGATGAAGCTAACCCACATCAAAAGATAATAGGCATATCTGAAGAAGGAAACAGGAAAGTATTAATTACTATATTAGAATTAAGAACCATAGTACACACTCACTTTGCCATTTCATTTACAACTCTGGGCTGGTCTGCACAGAAATCCACTTTAACAATCTTTGAGGACTTGGGCTCCACAACACCATCAGTTGGAAAAATGACAATGGGTAATTGGCCCTGGTATTCTGTTTTAAACATACCTGAGGAGAACAAGAGCAGATGGTTTACATCTGGATCTTTACAATAATGCATTCACACTCTTAGTAGGGAACAGACCCATACTAAAGAGTATATGGTCTATTGAAGACCAAGAATTACAACCTTGATTGTAAGTCCAAGTTCTAGGGTCATCAAAGATATGTGAGCCTAGTGTTAGGACTCAATTCTCATCAGTAGCTAAAATATATTATCTGCTTACTATCTTCTGATACTTAAGCTAAGAGCTTTGCATATGGTATTCTATTTAATCCTCATAATGATTCTATGATATAGGTTCAGTCATTACCTCCATTTATAAATAAGGAAATAGAAGCTTAGAAAGGTTGAGTGAGTTATCCAAAGATACACAACTACTATGGTAGATTAGATGGTTGAGCCCAATTCTTTACCCTTCTCTGCATCCTTCCCATTACCCTATCATGGACAAAGTATGTTTTCCTGTCTCTTGACTTTGAACCTGATCATGTGATTTGCTTTGGCCAATAGCATGTGGCTAGAAGTGACAACATGCCAACTCTAACCCCAGATGTTCTCCTGCAGTTCTACCATGAAAAACATTTCTCTTGAATAGCCACTGTCCCTTTGGCCTGTTTCCTAGAATGAGCAAATGTGGAGCACAGCCACCCAGCTGACTCACAGACCTGCAGTAACACAACAGCCCCAACTGATTCAGCTTGAAGCAAAGCCACCCACCTGAGCTCAGCTTAGATCAATCAAGTTCCAGCCAATATGCACACAAATTAAAATTTTAAAAATAAATGCCTTGCCCTGGCCAGTCTGGCTCAGCAGTTAGAGTGTCGGCCTGCGGTCCAGAGAGACCCGGGTTCGGTTACCACTAAGGGCACGTACCTCGGTTGCAGTTTGTCCCCGGCCCTGGTTGGTCATGTGGGTGGCAGCCACTCGATGTGTCCCTTCACATCAATGTTTCTCTCTCTCTCTCTTCCTCTCTCTCCCTCCCGCTCTATCAGAACAAAGGATGGAAAAAATGTCCTCGGGTGAGGATAAAAAAAATAAATAAATAAAAATAAAAATAAAAATAATTGCCTTTTTTTAAGATACAAGAGCTGTGGGGTAGTTTGTTACATAGCAATATTTGACTATTATAGCCAGTAACTAAATAATTGAGTGGGGATTTTCACCTGGATGTTTCTGGTCATAGGTCTCATACTTATACCCACTGCCACTTCTCTACAGATGAATTAATACAGTTCACACAGGGGAAGGACAAAAGGAATGGGTTTCTAGAGTCAAACAGCTTATGAGAAAGACGCTACAGAAATTTCTTCTTCTGAAAGTAAAAATGGTTCATAATTTATGGTTATGTTTGATGCCTATATTAGAGCACACAATTCCTGAGATCAGATACTATCTTTCTCACCTCTGTGGTCCTGGCACCTCACATAGTGCCTAGCACAGAGCTGGGCTCAAAATATGTCCAACAAATACAAACAGCCAGTCACAAGTTTCTTAAATATCATTATATAATATTAACACAAATGAGCATATTGCCAACCTAAACAACTTCGCAAATTCCCAATTCACAGTTTTTTTTTGTTTTTTCATTTATTTATATATTTTTTGTTTTTATTTTTTTTTTTTAAATACGGGAGGGAGAGAAGGAGGAAGAGAGAGAGAGAACAACATTGACATGAGAGAGACACATTGACTGGCCGCCACCCACACAACCCCAACCGGAGCAGGGGACAAACTGCAACCGAGGTACACACCCCAACGGGAACTGAACCTGGGACTCTCTGGTCCGCAGGCCAACGCTCTAATCGCTAAGCCAAACTGGCCAGGGCCCCAATTCACAGTTTTAAAACACATTCGATGACATTTTCTAAAATTATTCATCTAACTTAGGAGAATAAAATATCAACATAATACAAGTACTGAAAACAGACAATAAAACTTTTTTAAGTACAGAAATGACCTGATGGAAAAGGCAAATTCACAGTAAGTTGTTAATCCAATCATTTTAGGGAAGTGCTAAGCATAATATTTAATATTTGTGAGATTATATCCATTTCTAATAAATATTATTGACTCAGTTCTCCAGAAAAAGAGAACTACACGTGTTCAGTTAAGGCTGAGTCAGTGTAATAGTTTCTATGTTGTGACCACTTTGACGTAATTTGACAAGAGTTTAAGTAATGTCTCAAAAGCTTATTCAGGAACAACCCTAAAACCAAAGGAATATTGTTCAGTCTTCTAAATATATTAAAACAATGGGTACACAAACATTACTGTGTCATATATAACTTAAATACCATTAATACTCATGAAACATTTGACTGTTGTACTTTTTAATTGCTAACAACAGGAGCAAGGACATTATCCTAAGAGAAGAGTGTCATTGAAGGAAGAACATTACAGATGAAATTTTGTAATCAAATTTTCATTTCTTTTCAGATATGACACTAGCGAATGTATGAAGAATGAACTGGAAGAAGATAAGAAGAGACTTCAGAAAAATAATATGGGTTGGTGTAATTACTAGGCAAGAACAGCTGATGGTCTGTTGTAGAGAAATGGCAATGGGACAGAGAAAAGTAGAATTACTCACCTAATCAGGAAGTGAAGAGATAGGATTTAACAACTGACTAACATGGTAGGAGGTGGAAAAAAAAGGGAGGTCTCACCCTGGCCAGTATGGCTCAGCAGTTAGAGCGTCGGCCTGCGGTCCAGAGAGACCCAGGTTCGGTTCCTGCTAAGGGCACGTACCTCAGTTGCAGTTTGTCCCTGGCCCTGATTGGGCTGTGTGGGTGGCAGCCACTTGATGTGTCCCTTTCACGTGGATGTTTCTCTCTCTCTCTCTCTCCCTCTTCCTCTCTTTCCCTCCCTCCCACTCTATCTGAACAAAAAATGGAAAAATGTCCTTAGGTGAGGATTAAAAAAAAGGGGGTGGTCTCAAAGATTTTACCAAGTTTTTTTACTTTCCCAAATACATGGTGGTGATATTTAATGAAAAAGAGAAAAGGGTAAGTTTTGGGGAGAAGCTGAGGAATTTAGTTTTAGACATGTTAAATTTGAGGAATTTGAAGGAAATACAAAGAATTGTCTAGACTTCAGCGAAGTAACAGGAATTGAAGTGATTACCTAGGGAAAATGTGTTTACAGAGGAGACATTAGGGTCCATGGCAAATCCTAAGGAACACTCACATTTAATGTCCAAAAAAAAAATGGACATCAGTCCACAAAAGATAATTAAAGAACAGGGAGGCAATAGAAAAAGAATAAGTCTGCCCTGGATGGTTTGGTTCAGCAGTTAGAGCATCAGCCCAAGGACCAAAGGGTTGAGGGTTCGATTTCTGGTCAAGGGCACGTACCTGGGTTTTGTATTTGATCCCTGGCCCTGGTCAGGGTCATGCAGGAAGCAACTAATCATTGTGCCTCTTTCACATGGATGCTTCTCTCTCTCTCTCTCTCTCTCTCTCTCTCTCTCTCTCTCTCTCTCCCCCGCCCTCCCTTCCACTCTCTCTATAAATCAGTGGAAAAATATCTTAAGAAATTAATATCTTGATAATTAAGGGAGAAAAAGAGTAATTCTAACATCAGGAGTGAATATTTATTGAAGACTTAATATATGTCAGAGAGTATGCCAAGCATTTTATTAATCACCACCACAATTGTAGAGGGCAGGCACTATGTGTTTCTCTAATGTATAAGTGAGGCTATGAATGTTTGGAAAGTGAGAATTCCTCACCTAGGGCCTCCCTGTCAGTAAATATTGTAACCAAGATTTGGGCCCTAGAAGACCTCACTCCAGGACCTGAGTAACTATTAACCATTATTTTATATAGGAGAGTGAGGGGTCGTAGAAGCCAAAGTTTACATATTTTTCAGGAAGATGGCAGTGTTTCTTAGGGTATGTTCCTAGAAGTGGGATCACTGGGTCAAATGGAAGTTTAATTTTTAATTTTTTGAGGTAACACCATATTGTTTTCCACAGTGGCTGCACCAGTCTGCATTCCCACCAGCAGTGTACTAGAGTCCCCTTTTCTCCACACCCTCGCCAACACTTGTTGTTTGATGATTTGTTGATGGCGGCCATTCTGACAGGTGTGAGGTGATATTTCATTGTTGTTTCATTTGACCCAGTGATCCCACTTCTAGGAATATACCCTAAGAAGCCTGAAACACCAATAAGAAAGAATATATGTGCCCCCATGTTCATAGCAGCACTATTTACAATAGCTAAGATCTGGAAACAGCCCAAGTGTCCATCAGTAGACGAATGGATAAAAAAGCTGTGGTACATATACACAATGGAGTACTATGCAGCTGTAAGAAAGAAAGATCTCTTATCCTTTGAGACGACATGGAGGGACCTGGAAAGTATCATCCTAAGTGAAACAAGCCAAACAGAGAAAGATAAGTATCATATGATCTCACTGATTTGTGGAATATAATGAACATAACAGTCTGAGGAATGGGACAGTCCCAGAGACATGGAAGTGGGGTACAGACTGACAATCCCTAGAAGAGGGGGTGGTGGTGGAGAGATAAACCACAGAACTTATATTCATGTATGCATGAACAAAGGTCATGGACAACAAAGCTGGGGACAGGAGGGGGAGGGGAATCAGTGGGGGGAAAAGGAGAAGCATCTGTAACAAAAATAAATAAAGTAATTTAAAAAAAAGAAAATGGCAGTGGCCAACTGTGCCAAATGTTGCTAATAAACTGTGTAAAATAAACACATGGACTTGTCCACTGATGAGACTTAGGAGCGAGCATGGGATGTGAGAATAATACCCACAGCTGTGGCTGAGATGAGGGGTCTTCTGCACAAACCTGTATGATTTTTTGAATCAGAATTGATCTGTCTTCTCTAGAAAAGCAGTTTAGGCACTGGGCAGTGAAATATACATTATTACTTTGCCTTCCTCCAAAATACAGGTAGTCTGCGTTTTACAGGATGCTACTGAAAATCAACAGTTACATACCCAAGGCCATTGTTATTTGCTCTGTATGCTTTTTTCTCCCCATAAATTTCCTTGGGTCTAAGCACAGCAAAATGTACCAGTCTCTACCTGTCTCCAAATGACTAAGTTTTGGAGACTTTCAGAATGGTCATATGTGATTAAATGGGTTACTTCTGAAATCACCTTTCATTGAAAGCTTCATGGTTCTTTACTGAAACTCGAAGAGATGACTGAACCAAATCAATTAAACAAAAGTTTATTGAACGTCTGTTATATGTTCAGCATGGTATTATGCATGAAAAGCATATTGGGATTTCATAGCATCAGTTTCCAAGAAAATAAAAATATTCATTGAGAATAAGTAACCGGTGCTTCTCTGAGTAGTTAGGGAGGATCTCAAGGACCACACATGGGGGCTGGGTTCAATTTAGCAAATTTCCTGATTTACAGATGATGCCAGGCTTTTCCAGGCAGTGAAGTAGAGAGATGATGCTGACGATCAGGGAAAGGGGGAGAGTGGGCATTAAGAGCAAAAGAAAGGTCATATATTTTGTGCCAAATGACCCAAATAAACCTAAAGGATGATGAGTTCTAACGTAGCGGTTCAAACTCAGAAATGGTGTGTAAAGATCTCACTAGGGACTTTAAAGACTGTTCTACATCATATAGCTGTAGTAGAAAAAGTCTACTCAAATATTCAAGAATACTGAGGGGAAGAGGTAAATGATTGCAATTCAAGGCAAGCTAAAATAACAATGTTTTTCTCAATTTTCAAAGATAACTGAGAAACAATAAAATCCTAAGTGAGAACATGGAATTCACCAGCTCACAAAGTACTAATAGTAAAGACATCTTAAAGACTGAACTGTATCTTTTCAAAATGAAAAGGTAAGTGCTACTTTGCACAGTCAGGAGTGAACTTTGGAAACATTCTTATAAAGGGTCAGAAAACAAAATGTTCAAAGATCATTTGGCTAAATCCATGGAGGGATATTTCATAATGGGCTTTAAAAACAAAACATCATTGCCCTAGCCAGTTTATCTCAGTAGTTAGAGCGTCAGCCTGCAGAGTCGCAGGTTTGATTCTGGTCAAGGGCATGTACTTCGGTTGCAGTTCAGTCCCTGGCACTGGTTGGGGTTGTGCAGTAGGCAACCAATCGATGTGTCTCTTTCACATTGATGTTTCTCTCTCTCTCTCCCTCCCACTCTGTCTGAAAATAAATGGAAAAATACCCTTGGGTGAGGATTAAAAATAATAAATAAACAAACCTCATGAAGTTGTAACACAGATAAACTTTGGGGTTTACAAAACCAAAGATAATAACCAAAATGACACCACCAAAGAGTGTAAACAAAGCTGTACAAATCATGAACCTGCTGAGTGTAGCTTTTTATGTCCTCTTAAGTATACATATGTTTGTAAACTTTTGATCTTTGACTCTAAAACTATAAACTATTTGTCACATAAAATCCTTTTTTTAAATTTATTAAAATCATCTTTGGTTGCTGAATCTATTTTCTGCATAAGTGTTTTTCTTCAAGAAAATACAACTGTTCTTTTCATGAATATTTATATATTGTACGTGTAGGTAATAAGGACTTTATGACACTTTACAGGCACTTGCTGTGAATATAAAACATACTATCAATTTCAGTAATGGTGGAAAAAATAATATTAAACCACAAGACTGAGGGACGAAGTCAACACTAAGAAAATGTGTTTCGTTGATAACGTTTTGTTTGTAAACTAATAGTAATTAACATTTCACAGTTCTCAATTATAATTTACCAAATGTAGTAGTCACTACAAATACTACGCACACAGAAAACATTAATAAAATACTAAAAGTCAATGTAGATTACTTTTCCTAAAATGGACTGACCCAGGTCTGAGACTTAATTTTATTTATTTTATTAAGTAAAATAATATTAAATATTCAATTTAAAAACATATATTATTTTTTACTTACAAAGACCTTTTATATGTAATAAAACTGTACAATTTGGTGAGATTTTAGAATAAAGAAAGGATATGATCAAAACTTGGAAGGATTTGTCATGGACAACTGTTAAGAGGGATTTTTGGAAAGTAAAATAATAAAAATAAATTCTCTCAATTACATATCATTGCTCTAAAATACAACCTGAGAGTCTAAAAAACCACAGAGCCCACAATCACTTGCCATGAGAGACTCTATCCTTAATACTGGAGTCAGAACACATATGAGCTTAATACTCTACCATCCCACAAGCACCAAAAATTCAATCACAAAAACCGAAAGTATGGAAAGCAAAATGAGCATCATTCAATGAGGACCAATTATCAGTTTTATTTGTTTATACACAAAGAAAATATCAGTAAAGTGACAGACTGCCTTTGTCTTCTTAATTCCCACTGCTCAATCAAGCAGCCCCAGAGAACATCCTCACTTAGTGTAAGACAGGTTTGGATTTAAGACTTGGTTTATGTATCCAACAAGCAGTCTCAGAGAGAAATGTCTTCCCTGTGTGGATCTAGACCTTATTTCCGCTGGGCAGATATGACAGCCTTGCCACCCCTGTTCCTGACCATCCAATGAGAATAAGAGATAAGTGATTTTATGCCTAATGAATACCATCAATGAAGAGTGTGCTTGAGCACATACACATACACCTTTATGTAAACTCTTAGGTCACAGAAAGAATCTCCAGAAATAATCCAGTCTGGAGAAGAGAGAAGTGTTATTCTTTCAACAAAAAGTTAGTAAGAGCCTTCTAGCGACCATGTGTGAATTCAAAGTTGAATACAATAGAGAAAAAAACAAATACTAATTGAGTGCCTATGATAAGTACCATATTTCAACCTTAAGTACGTACATAATTAACCGCAGTACATTTTATTAGCCACAGTCTATAAATGAGGAATATCAAGATCAATGTCCTTAAGGATACTTGTACCAGGCCATTCAGCTAGTAAGTCACTACACCCTGATTATCTCTCTCAATTACTCTAAGGACTATGTCAATTCCATAACACCATCCTGCCTTTTATCATCAATCATCAGGTTGATCACTAGTCATCTGAGAGTCAGGTTGGGTTCATCAGAATCATAAGTAGGTGGATTCATCTTTCCTGAATAATTGCCTATTAGTTTTTTACAGTTAAACCTATTCGAGGGCTTTCAGTTTTGAGTTTTCAAAAGATAGACATTTGTGAGGTGGCGGGGGGTGGGGGGAGTGAATCAGAGAATCCATTAATTATACAAGGTATATTTCCAAATAGTACCAACTTTATTCCAAAAGTGTAAGTTCATTTATACGACAAAGTATTTACCTGGAGCCTTGCCACGGTTAATGATACTAATCTCTTTACAATGCACTTTACTACTGGCAACCACAGTGCCAAAATTAACTTCTGTCCCCATTTCCAATTTACAGGATGGAATCAACCTAGGAGAGAAAAGAGGACCGACCATATAATGAATTTTAACAATTAAAACGTTGTGGTTAAATCTATAGGGACATATATAAAAACACAAACACAAGATATTTTTGTCTTAACTTCTTTTTTTTTTTAGTCCTTACCTGAGGATATGTTTATTGATTTGAGAGAGAGAGAGAGAGAGAGAGAGAGAGAGAGAAACATCTATGTGAGAAGGAAACATTAATTGATTGCCTCCAGTACCCTGACTAGGGATTGAACCCACAACCTACATATATGCCCTGATCAGGAATTGAACCCGCAACCTTCTGGTGTGCAGGACGAGGCTCCAACCAACTAAACCACTGGGCCAGGGCTGTCTTAACTTCTTAAAAGATATTTCAGTTTCTTTCCAGGTCTACTGGTGGCACATCTGTCAGTAAAAGGAATTGTGAAATAAAGACATGACAAGATAGTGAGACATTCTTAGCAAAGAAATCAAACTGTATGCATCTAAGTACATTGCATATCCTCTCAAGTACACACCTTGAGAGGCTATCCACATGTCTCAATGTTTTTGTTGCTTAAAACACATTTGGAACTCTGTTTTGGAATCTCCACCCAAGCCTATAAAATTACATTCTTTTGACCCTCCTCAAAAAGGGTAAAACAGGAGCCCTGCCCCTTGCTTCGCTGCCCCGCCATCTAACTCTGCGGACCCACTGGCGACAAACCTGCCCCGCTCTCGTGTGGACCATGTCTGGTTCCTCCAGTGTCACCGCTATGAAGAAAATGGTTCAACAGCTCTGGCTGGAAGCCGGGCTCAACCGCGTGAAAAGTTTCCCAGGTAGCTGCAGATTTTAAACAATTCTGTCTGCAGAATGCTCAACATGACCCCCTAATAACCAGAGTATCTTCAAGTACCAATCCCTTCAGACCCCAGAAAGTCTGTTCCTTTTTGTAGTGAAATGAATCTTTGAAGGTGTTCTAAGGACTTTTCTTGAACCGATGACTATTCTAAGAGTTATTAAATTGGAAGCCTGTATAAAATACTTATCTTATAATGTGCCATACTATACTATTTAGTCTGCTTTTCTCAGTCCTTAACATCTACCTCTCTGAATTTTCATGAATTTCTGTTCCACAAGGGTGATTATTTTATATACACTGGCAGCAGCATACAAATAAAATACTTAGTATAAAATAAAAGGGAGGGTAAAACAGACCTTAACAAAGTAAAGTAGTTTGGATGATGCCAAATCTGATTAAATTTAAAAAGGTAGGATGCTATAATATCATTTAGGGACTAAAACAAGGTCTAAGTACAAAAAGATACAATTGATTTTTCATGAGTGTGTTTGATTTAAAGGGCTCACTGCAGCCTATCTGTAGCTTATGTTTTCATACATGTTTAAAAAATTCATTATAACCCAGCTGGTGTGGCTCAGTGGACTGAGCGTCGTCCCATGGACTGAGGTCCTGGTTCAATACTCAGTCAGGGCACGTGTCCAGGTTGCAGGCTCGATTTCCAGTAGGGGGTGTGCAGGAGGCAGCCTATCAATGTATCTCTCTCAAATAGATGTTTATATCTCTCCCTTCCTTTCTTTCTAAAAAAAAAATCAATAAAAGCCCTGGCCAGTTTGGCTCAGCGGTTAGATCATCAGCCTGCGGACCAGAGAGTCCTGGGTTCGGTTCCTGCTAAGGGCATGTACCTTGGTTGCAGTTTGTACCTGGCCCCGGTTGGGGTCATGTGGGAGGCAGCCACTCGATGTGTCTCTCTCACATCGATGTTTCTCTCTCTCTCTTCCCCCCTCTCTCCCTCCCACTCTACCTGAAGATAAATGCAAAAATGTCCTCGAGGATAAAAAAAAAATTAATTAATTAATTTAAATAAATAAATAAATTATAAATTATATAAAAAAACAATAAAAATATATTAAAAATAAATAAATAAATAAATAAAAATCTATTATAATCCTAATACATGTTTCATAGATATATTTTATATTTGGATAGTAACTTATAGGTTAAAAAGCATCATTAAGTATATTATCCTGTTTGATACTAAAACATTCCTGAAAGGTTAGTAAATATTATTATGGCTCCTATGTTACAGATGAAAAGCCAAAGACTTAAAAAACCTAAATAATTTATCAAAGGAATGATCTGAATATAATGTTGGTGAATTTAGCCTTGGATCCATTTTGTTTGACTCAAGTACATTGCCCTTACAAACCTAACAATGTTAACAGCACCAATTATAAGTATAGTAATAACTGACCATTAGAGTCCTTAGGTTATGTGCCAGAAACATGAATTAAGTAATTTATTTCAGCCCTGGCCGGTTTGGCTCAGCGGTTAGAGCGTCGACCTGCGGTCCGGAGAGACCCGGGTTCGGTTCCCGCTAAGGGCACGTACTTCGGTTGCAGTTTGTCCCCGGCCCTGGTTGGTCGTGCGGGTGGCAGCCACTCAATGTGTCCCTTTCACGTCGATGTTTCTCTCTCTCTTCCTCTCTCTCCCTCCCACTCTATCTGTACAAAAAATGGAAAAATGTCCTCAGATGAGGATTAAAAAAAAAAAAAATTAAGTAATTTATTTCACATAGGATATATCTCTTGACTATTTGTATGTCCTGTTTGGAGAGGTGTCTATTTAGGTCCTCTGCCCATTTTTTAAATTTATATTTATATAATTTGTAAAAATTTTAAAAATGTGGATTTATGATTACAGTAAATCTATTTATATACATATTTGTATACATACTGAACACATGTATTCACATGTACATATACATACATATGCATAAATTATACACAAATTTACATACATAGTTAATTGCTGGTTATCAATAAAAAGCTTCTAAACATAAAAATGTAATAATTTAGGATAGGGTGCTATGGTGAGAAATGAAATGGAAATACAAATTTGGAGGAAAATCATGAGGTAAAATTTTCAACTACTACAAAATTACTATGTTACTTCTATTTTACTGGCCAGATCTGAAAGAGGCATGTAACTATCTTTTATAACATTTCTTATATATGAGCAATTCTATTCAAACTCATAACAAAAAAACTTAGAAATTTTTAAATGTGCAAGAGGTATATAATTTTTAGGATTACATGGGGAAAAATGTGTTCAAAAGTCACTGATTCTATCATTTCTCTACTAGAGCACTTTAGGAACACAAGGTAATACAAACTTCTGGTTTCCAGATTGCATACATCCATGTTCTTCCCCACTAAACACAACTACAAACCCTACAAATGATACAAAAGGCAAGCAAAGGAGAATAGTGAAAGTTGGTGAGAAGTTAGAGCGGGCTGGTTTGGAACCAAGGACTGGAGGAACAACATGAAAATGCAAATTAAAGCTAAAATGTGACTCTGGTATTGGAATGGTGAACATTATAAAACAGTGACATAAACAACTGCCAAGAAAGATGCAGAAAAACAGATTGCTCATGCATTGCTCACTGGAATGTAAAATGGTCCAGCCACTCTAAAAGCCATTTGAAATTTTCTTCTAAATGAAACATGCAACTACTATATGACCCAGCATATGAAAATAAAAATGTATTTTCATACAAAACTTGAACATGAATGTTCATAGCAGTTTTGTTTGTAAGAGCCAAAAATTGGAATCAGCCCTGACACCCTTCGACAGGTCAGTGGTTAAACAAACTGTGGTACCGTGGACTAGTACTCAAGAATTAAAAAAAAAAAAAGCCAACTATTGATACATTCAAAAACTTGGTTGCATCTCCAGGGAATTTTGCTGTGAAAAAGGTCAATCCCCAAAAGTTATATAACATATTTGAGATGAAAAAAGTTTAGAAATGGAAGACAGATTAGTGGTTTCCAATTGAGGAATGGTGTTTGTGAGGCAGAAGGGAGGTGGGTGTGGTTATAAAAAGTAACAGGAGGAATCCTAGTGGTATTGGAACTGCTCAGTATCTTGACTGTGGTGGTAGATACAAAATCCTGCACAGGTAATAAAATTGGATAGAATTTAAAAGCTTACACACACACAAGTTTAAGGAAGGTTGTGGCAACCTGAATACAATAGATGGATTGTTCAATGTAAATTTTCTAGTTGTGGTATTATCCCATTGTTTTGCAAAATGTTACCATTGGGGGAAACTGGTGGAAATGCACAAGAAATTATTTGTTATAACTGCAGGTGAATCTTCAATCATCTGAATTTTTTAAAAACAGAAACATAGCAAGCTCACTAGCTACATCTCCCTTCAGCCCTGTCCACCACATGTTAAGGGTGTAGTGCTGTCCTTACATTACAACTCTGGTGAGCAGCTGGCCTCTGATGAAAGAGGGCATGCTATGGGAATAAGACAAAATCTGTTTTCTAAAGCAGAAGCATCTTCAACACTTCTCTCCATATACAGCACAAACAAGCATATCTGGATGCTAGTCATAGGTATGTCAATGTGCAGAATGGGCCCAAAATGACTCTACTTAAAATGTAAAATGTAATTTAAATATTTGTAATAGGTTAATAGCTTGGCCATTTCCTAATATGTATCAACTGTTTGATTCCTATGCAGAATGGGATGGTGTGCAAAATCAGAACTTCTCAACAACACAGATAACCCAGATAATTGCAGATCTAAATTTAGTTTAGTTTATAAAAATGGAAAAAAAAAAGAAAAAAAATTGAAAGGCATATGTCTAATACTAAAATCATATTAATATTTCAATATTAATTATGCAGCTGGTAGACAGATAGAGCTTTCTTTACTAAGTCTTTCTGTCTAAAGGTACCAAAAATATGGAGAAAATAAAATAGGATGTGAGATAAAAAAAAAAAAAACACATGCAATTGTTGAATGTTTTTAATTTATCTTAATAAAAAATAATACCAGCAAACTAGTTTTCATTTGTTCTGAATCACAATTTGCTAAAAATCTGTCCTTTAAGTTCAGTTGTAAAGAAACTATAGACACAACAAACCCGTTTTAGGCAGGGAATATAAAGAATATTACTTTGACCCTAATTTTTATTTGAAGAGTGCTCAGAATGTCAGCATGAAATATGAAGAATACATACCCAACAAGAGGAACCTCTATTGCTTTGTTTCCTACTGCAATACGTAGTTGGTCAAAAGTGTCTTCATTTTTATTAGGATGATATTCCACTATAGCTGTCGTTTGAAGTCCAGAAGCAAGTTCTTTATCCACATTTGACAAAAGCAGTTTAAACTTCAATGGGAGCAAAAAATCAAATTACACATCTTAACTCTTAATAAGGAAATAATATGAGCAACTGTAGTTAGGAATGTACATTATTTCAAGAGCTACATCAAGACACAGGCAATATTTCTGCCCTAGAGGCAAAGACTTACTGACTATATTTACACCTATGAAATTCTAGATCCTTCAGATATACTTTCAATGGTACGGACTACTAAAACAGACAAAGCGTCAGTTGAGACATATGTCTATGCTGAGGGGTAATTAAAAATAGAAATAAAGGAAGACCAATCTAATAAAAATGTTGTTCAATCATGTATACATGCATAATACTTTCATGCATACATATATAGATATACACACACACACACACACACAGCATTTTATATACTTTCCACATGGAAACTCAGACTTTATAATTTGGAGGAAATGTAAAAAAGAAATATGCCAAAAGGGAAAAAGAAAAACACTTTTGTCCTTTTCAAATATTTGTTAGACTCTAGGAAAAAAATTAAGGGGCAAACAGAAGAACTGCTATCTGTTGAGAACTTACAATAGGTCAAACATTCTACATCTCAATGCACTTCTATAGTCCTGTAAGGCTGATATTATGGCTCCCAGCATATAGGTGAGGAAACTGGAACCTGTAGAGTGCAATCACTGTCTAAGGTCACTCAGGCAGTGAGCATTTAAAACACACATCTCTCTGCCCCTGAACCTTAAGCTCTTGCCCCACAACTAGAGATAGTGCTTCTCCTGAATATATAATCTCTTTAAGGAAGCAGACTATATGCCCCTTGAAAGTTAAATAATATAAGCCAGGGACTAATTAAGTAGCATATGAGTGATGTAGTCATAAATATCATGAAAATCCTCAAGAGAACATGATTAAAAACGTTGGGCTAAGAAGAAGTGCACTTGGCCAAGGCTTAGAGATGGATGTAAAAGGTGGAGAAGTAAGAAAGGTGTTCCCTGTGGGGGCAGCAATATCTCAAACACAAGCAGAGAAAAGAATAAGCAAAATAATCGCTTAGCTGGCAGGTAATAAGCTAGCTTGACTGGGCAAAGAGCTTCAATCTGTAGCAATGTAGGTTCTGTTGAAATGAATTGTTCAACAAAATCCTCAACAAAATCTTAGCAAATCAAATCCAGCAATATATTAAGAAAATTATATACCATGACCAAGTGGGATTTATTCCAGGGATGCAAGGGTGGTACAATATTTGTAAATCAATAAATGTGATGCATTACATAAACAAAATGAAAGATAAAAATATGATCACATCAATAAACACTGAAAAAGCATTTGACAAAGTCCAGCATCCATTTTTCATAAAAACTCTCAGCAAAATGGGAATAAAAGGATCATGTCTCAACATAATAAAGCCCATTTATGACAAATCTACAGCCAAGATCACACTCAATGGGCAAAAACCAAAAGCATTTCCCTTAAGAACAGGAAGAAGACAGGGATGTCCACTTTCACCACTCTTATTTGATATAGTACTGGAAGTCTTAGCTACAACAGTCAGACAAGAGGGAAAAATAAAAGGGATTCAAATTAGAAAGGAAGAAGAAACTGTCATTATTCGCAGATGACATGAAATTGTATATAGAAAACCCTAAAGACTCCATCAAAAAACTACTAAATTTGCCCTGGCCAGTTTGGCTCAGTAATTGGAGCGTCAGCTCGTGATCTAGAGAGCCGGGGTTTGGTTCCCGCTAAGGGCAGGTACCGTGGTTGCAGTTTGTCCCCGGCCCCAGTTTGGGTTGTGTGGGTGGTGACCGCTCGATGTGTCTCTCTCACATCAATGTTTCTCTCTCTCTCTCTCTCTCTTCCTCCCTCTCTCCCTCTCACTCTATGAATGCAGGAGGTGTCCTCAGGTGAGAATTAAAAAAAAAAAAAAAAAAACTACTAAATTTAGTAAATGAATTTGGCAAATTAGCAGTATATAAAATCAACATCCAGAAATCATTGGCATTTTTATACATCAATAATGAACACACAGAAAGAGAAATTAAAAATAAATAAAAAAATCACATTTACCATCGCAGCAAAAAAAATTAAGATACCTAGGAATAAACTTAACCAAAGAAGTAAAGGACCAGTTCACAGAAAACTACAGGACATTGAAAAAAAATTTTTGAGGAAGATATAAAAAAAGTGGAAGCATATACCTTGTTCATGAAGATATAAAAAAAGTGGAAGCATATACCTTGTTCATGGATTGGAAGACTTAACATCATTAAAATAGCCATACTACCTAAAGCCATCTATAGATCCAATGCAATCCCTATTAAAATACCAATGACATATTTCACAGACCTATAACAAATACTCCAAAAGTATTTTGAAACCAAATAAGACCCCAAATAGCCACAGAAATCTTGAAAAAGAACAAAGTAGGAGGGATCACAATACTGGATATATCAGGTTATACTACAAAACCACTATAATCAAAACAGCTTGGTACTGGCACAAGATCAAGCATATAGATCAATGGAACAGAACAGAGAACACATAAAGTGACCCAAGATATCATGCTCAATAAATATTTGACAAAGGTGGCAAGAGCATACAATTGGAGTAAACATAGCCTCTTTAATAAATGGTATTGGGAAAATTGGACAGCTACATGCAAAAGAATGAAACCAGACCACCAATTTACACCATACATAAGAATAAACTCAAAATGGATAAAAGACTGAAATTTGACTTGTGAATCCATAAAAATCCTAGAATAAAATGTAGGCAACAAAATCTCAGACATTCCACATAGCAGAATTTTCACTGATACAACCCCTAGGGCAAGAGAAACAAAGGAAAAAATTAATACACGGGACTACATCAAACTAAAAAGCTTCTGCACAGAAAAAGAAAGAAGCATCAAAATGGAAAGAAAACCCACTGTATAGGAGAACATAATTGCCAACGATACATCAGATGAGGGTTTAATTTCCAAAATATATAGAATGCTCATACAACTCAACAAAAGAAAGACAAAGAATCCAATTTAAAAATGGGCAGAGAACCTAAAGAGACACCTCTCCAAAAAGAACATGCAAATGGCCAAGAGACATATGAAAAAATGCTCAATGTCACTAATGATCATTGAGATGCAAATTAAAATGACTATGAGGTATCACCTCACACCTGCCAAAATGGTTGCCATCAACAAATCACCAAAGAACAAGTGCTGAAGAGGATGTGGAGAAAAGGGGACTCTAGTACACTACTGGTGGGAACCACTGTTGCAACCACTGTAGAGAACAATATGGTGTTTCCCAAAAACTTAAAAATGGAACTGCCATTTGACCCAGTGATTCCATTCCAGGAATATATCCTAAGAAGCCTGAAACACCAATCAGAAAAAATAGACACTTCTGTGTTCATAGCAGCGCTATTTACAATAGCTAAGATCTGGAAACAGCCCAAGTGTCCATCATTAGATGAGTGGATAAAAAAGCTGTGGTACATATACGCAATGGAATACTATGCAGCTGTAAGAAAGATCTCTTATCCTTTGAGGTGACATGGAGGGACCTGGAGAGTAATATGCTAAGAAAAATAAGCCAGTCAGAGAAAAACAAGTATCACATGATCTCACTTAGTTGTAGAATATAATGAACAAAATAAGCAGATGAACAAAATAGAACCAGGACACAGAAGTAGGGATCAGACTGACAAACCTCAGAGTAGGCGGGGGGAGAAGGAGAGGAGATAAACCAAAGAACTTATATGCATACATGCACAACCAATGGACATAAACAACAATACTGTGAAGGGGGACAGGAGTGGGGAGGAGGGTGTCATGAATAGGGGAAAAAGGAGAAACATATGTAACAAAAATACTTAATTTTTTTTAAAAAATTAATTAATTTTTCAGCGTTTCTCATTGCCAGCTGAGTCTAAGCAGTGCTTTACAGCCATGAAGGATATAGAACACTGGAATGATTTGTTAACTACTAGTTTGAAAGCATCATATATCCAGCAAACAATTATTCTGATATCTCATGACTACCACATTCCAACTCTCAACCCCCCTGTAATTACAAAGGTTATAATACAATAGATTGTTCCCCATATTGACCTTTGGGTGCTGGCAGTCCACAGAGCAGGTTTGACTATCTTTCCCGAAAGAAGCTATATTTTCAAAAAGGAAAACCAAGGCTTCAGTAACATGTGCTTATGTCAAACTACTGGTTGGTGAGCACTGTGAGTGGTCTGCAAAGGTGTGTAAGGCACCTCCCTACTCTTACGAGCTTCTGAACTGACCATTGAGGTAAAATTAAGATTTACCAGGAGTCCTGGGCACACAAGTTCAAACTATAATGAATGTCTGTAAATGCAATTGGTATATAATTTGGAGAACAGTATGGTGTTTCCCAAAAACTTAAAAATGGAACTGCCATTTGACCCAGTGATTCCATTCCAGGAATATATCCTAAGAGGCCTGAAACACCAATCAGGGCAGAGAACCTAAAGAGACACCTCTCCAAAAAGGACATACAAATGGCCAAAAGACATATGAAAAAATGCTCAATGTCACTAATTATCATTGAGATGCAAATTAAAATGACTATGAGGTATCACCTCACACCTGCCAAAATGGTTGCCATCAACAAATGAAAAATAATTTGGAGATAATATAAGAGACTTGTTAACTTCTTAGGGAAAACAAAAACTTACATTGTCTCTCAAAAAATGGGTGGAATTTGGAAAGAGGTGATTCTTGTAGGAGGGGTAATGAAGCCATGGGTCAAAAACATTTTTAAAAGTCTGAGCTAAGGGAGTAAGGGGACAATTACGAGTAAAACTGGCCTGACTAAACCAGGGGCCACACAAGTCAGGATTGTGTTGTCAAAAGTGTGTCTTTTTTCTTTTCTACCAGGAACCCATAGTAGATGGAATATAGCACTTCGTATGACACATAGTAGGTACCCACTACATAGACAATGCAGGCTCTTGAGCTGGGATGGAAAACAAATACTACCATGTGTTAGAATCATTTTCTAAGTTATTATAATAGTGGTAATGAAAACGCTCTCTACATAGCAATTTGTTTTTCTTTTTTATCTCCAAGACAGTTAATGCATTTTTTGCTAATCTACCTCTTCCCTACTTCCCATTATATCTCTGAAGGATCTAGAATGCATATCATGGTCTTGCAACAAAGAGAAGTTCACAATGTAATGGGTTCGTGGCTTTGGCCTCTAACTAGTAGGCCTGTCTGGCCATTCTCTTGTCAATGACAAGACCTGTGGTCTAAATAGTTTTCCTTTTTTAATTCTGAATGCAAACCAAAATAAAATAAACTATATTATTGTTCTATCTGCATAAAAACCAGGAGACATCCATAAAATAGTATATGCCCACACCTGGGATTACTGCCAGTTTGAGGTTTAAAATAAAGTATTTTCAGATATACATTCAATTGTTCAATAAATATGTAGTAAAGTAATGAAATAATAAACTTTTCCCCTAATTATATAGTATTGCAAGGAATCAAGTACTTACTTATTTAATGAGCAATTAATAGTCTCTTGTGATGCAGTATTACAAAATAAACACATTACTATTATTAAGGCATACAAATACAAAATTAAGAACACGTGATTCCATTTATATGCAACTCAAGAACAGGCAAACCTAATCCGTGGTATTATAAATCAATACAGTGGTCATCTCCATGGAATGATTACTCCAGGTACTATAGGATATCTAGACTACTAGAAATCTTCTATGATTTGATCCAAGTGGTGGCTATAACAAGTTTTACTTTCAAGATCTGGGCACTTTAGTGTAGATAAATAGTACATCAATTTTTTAAAAGTGCTAAATGTAGAACATGAAAGTCTTGTTTCTTATTATCCTCCTATAATCACTATCATACATTTTTCTATGTATATTCAAACAAATATATGTAAGCTTAACAAAAAAGTCAGGCACCTTTCCATTTCTGTACATATAACTCCAGCTGAATTCAATATTATTAATCATTAGGACTATCCTATGAAAAAAATCAGTTATTCATCACTTACACACCAAAAATCCTTATCCCTTTCCTGTATCAAATGTCTCCCTGATAATAGGTGATCATAGTAAACTAATAACCATCCATTCACACCCATGCTCTAAAATAATAGTGAGAGAGATGAAATTCTATCAAATTTTAGGTCAGAAAATGGGAACAACCTCTCAGAACATTAATTTTGCCAATGATTAGACCTTTACTGACACCCTGTGAGTTTCTAAGTCCTGTGAGGGCAGGGCTATGTCCATCTTGCATTTCTCACACCGACTGCCTATTATACAGTAGGTGCTCAACAAATATTTGTTAAAATGTGAATAGTAAACGTTCCTACTACCCTATAATATCTAAAGTAATCAAGCACTTTACGGTTCAAAGGTTTGTCGTCATAATTCTACAGTATCATGGATTCCGGCCTACGCGGAAACAGACATGAAACCCTCTTCCTTTCCTTCTAAACCCAAAATGAAGAAATTGGGAGGTTCTACATGGCATTTCCCACCCTGGGTCCCAATCCTAAGTAAAAAGGATAAACAAGAAAACAAAACAAAAAGGTAAACACACAAAAACCTAAATCTCCACTCTCAATCCTGGCCCCCAGTCCCCTGGAGCTCAGTGCCTACTCCCCAGGACAAAGTAGGGGCCCAAGTTGGGAGGTAGTCTCAGAGCCCTCCTGGGTGTGTTACCTGTGGTTTGACCGGCTCCAGAAACCGGATCTTCTGGTTGCTGCGGCCAAGATTGTGGACAGTAACTGACTGGCGGTAGACCCTCCCCACCAGCGTGTCCAGGAACTTCAGCTCCGGCGGAGTCACCCGCAGCTGCAACTCCTTCGCTGTTTCCACTTCCAGAGGGATCAGGGAGGCCCTGGGTGTGTTCATGTCTTTGGTCTAGGAAGCCAGCCAACAGCTGTGGACGTGCGTGATCCACCTAGGACTAGCGTCCTCTACGCCGTTGCTAGGCAACCTTCCAACGTGGCGCCCGCCTGCAGCCTGGCCCGCCTGGGCGCCAACCAAGCTACACAAGTTGGAGATTCGAATGGAGAAAGCAGGCATCTGGCGGAAGAACCCAGGGATCACACGTGTCACCAGACTAGCTGGAAAACATGCTACAGAAGGCCAAATGCCAGAGGCATCTCACTTTAACATGGCCTGGCAGAATTTTGAGATGGCATTGGCGGGCAGGCGCCTTCTCCTGGATCTTTCTCAAGACTAAGCCTAAAAAACAGTGGAAGTGATGCATCCACGGGGTCTAGTAAAGCAGCAAGATGCAACAGTAATGGAGGAATTCAATAGAAACAGAGTCAGGGCCCCCTAGAGGCCCTACTCTGGCCTTTAGGCTAACGTTTCTAAAAATGTAATAGCCATCCTTTGTGTCTTTTGTTAAAATATACACATATGGCCAGTAAGCCAGAACGAGTGGAATAGGGACATCATTTTCAAAATTCTGTATATTTTGGCTTCACAAGTGGGAACTTAAGCTGGATTTTTATACTAATCACTACTATGATATAATACAAAGTTGGTCCATGTCCTTGAGCTCCTATGCAGGGCAATTTTATGGTGCTGAAGGTATACCAGTGGCCCAAGGAACTTCTCTGAACCAAGACCACTGTCCATAACCTCCTGCAATAACTGGAAACTCCAAAGACATCTCAACATTGTCTTGTGTCCACTTTCATGAAGACTGGCCTAAGTCTGACTTCTATGTCTACTCTAAACATATGGTGTTTTAAATCAAATAGAGAACAATTGTGCTTTCCTGTTCTGTTAGTACTCTCATCAACTGAAGAAGGGTGTTACATAGCTTCTCTCCAAAAGCTTGAGCCACTGCCCTCAGTAACTACAGTTAAGCCTCCTTGATTTGTATCCCAGGTTTTTATCTACTCTAAGTGGAAATTTTAGATGACTTTGAAGAGAAGCTGTTTGTCACCACAAAATATGCCTTTGAGGATTTTGATTATTTTAAGCTGGTTATTTTAAGAAACAAAAGATTCAGAAAGAAATTTTGAACCTCCCCACTTTACTTGCATAAAGGAATTCAGAAGGAAAAAACTGCTTAAAGTAGGGAACTTTCATCTCCCCATAATTTACACTAGGTGTGGCAGACAGAGAGGAACCCCTAAAGCCAGTTTGTTTGATTCCCTCTGTGTTCCATTGTTCTGGGTGGCCAGGCAAGAATTTGTTTACCAAAAGTTTGCTCTTTTCCTTTACCTGTGAATTGCCTACTTTACCTTTAAAATCTTAGACCCCTGCCTATCTCACCTTATCCAAATGGCATATCAGCCTCCACTGTCCAATGTGTCCTCAGGTCTCATATTCTTTTTTTTTTTTTTCCAACTTTTGAATACAAATTTTATTTTACTTTTTTAATTTATTTATTTTTGTTACGGATGCTTCTTTTCCCCCAACTGATTCCCCCCCTCCCCCCTCCCCACCCTATCTCCAGCTTTGTTGCCCATGTCCATTGTTCATGCATACTTGCATATAAGTTCTGTGGTTTATCTTTCCCCCACCACCCCCTCTTCTGGGGATTGTCAGTCTGTGCCCCACTTCCATGTCTCTGGGACTACCCCATTCCTCAGACTGTTATTTTAATTATATTCCACAAATAAGTGAGATCATATGATACTTGTCTTTCTCTGTTTGGATTGTTTCTCTTAGGATAATACTTTATAGGTCCCTCCATGTCGTCTCAAAGGATAAGAGATCTTTCTTTGTTACAGCTGCATAGTATTCCATTGTATATATGTACCACTGTTTTCTTTTTATCCATTCATCTACTGATGTACATTTGGGCTGTTTCCAGATCTTAGCTATTGTAAATAGTGCTGCTATGAACGTGGGGGTGCATACATTCTTTCTGATTGGTGTTTCAGGCTTCTTAGGGTATATTTTTAGAAGTGGGATCACTGGGTCAAATGGAAGTTCAATTTTTAATTTTTTGAGGTAACACCATACTGTTTTCCATAGTGGCTGCACCAGTCTGCATTCCCACCAGCAGTGTACTAGAGTACCCTTTTCTCCACACCCTCTCCAACACTTGTTTGATGACTTGTTGATGGCAGTCATTCTGGCAGGTGTGAGGTGATACCTCATTGTTGTTTTAATTTGCATGATTAGTGACATAGAGCATTTTTTCATATGTCTCTTGGCCTTTTGTATGTCCTGTTTGGAGAGGTGTCTACTTAGGTGCTCTGCCCATTTTTTAATTGGATCTTTTGTCTTCCTTTTGTTGAGTTATATGAGTACTCTATATATTTCGGAAGTTAACCCTGTATCTGATGTATCGTTGGCAATTATGCTCTCCCATACAATGGATTCCCTTTTCATTTTGATGCTTGTTTCTTTTGCTGTGCAGAAGCTTTTTAGTTTGATGTAGCCCCAAATATTCATTTTTTCCCATGTTTCTCTTGCCTTAGGTGTTGTATCAGTGAAAATTCTGCTGGGTGTGATGTCTGAAATTTTGCTGCCTACATTTTCTTCTAGGATTTTTATGGATTCACGAGTCACATTTCAGTCTTTTATCCATTTTGAATATATTCTTGTGTATGGTGTAAGTTGGTGGTCTAGGTTCATTTTTTTGCATGTAGTTATCCAATTTCTCCAACACCATTTATTAAAGAGGCTGTCTTTACTCCACTGTATGCTCTTGCCACCTTTGTCAAATATTAATTGAGCATATTGACTTGGGTCCATTTCTGGGTTCTCTGTTCTGTTCCACTGGACTATATGCCTGTTCTTGTGCCAGTACCAAGCTGTTTTGATTACAGTGGCTTTGTAGTATAACCTGAAATCTGGTAATGTGATCCCTCCAACTTTGTTCTTCTCTTTCATGATTGCTGTGGCTATTCGAGGTCTTTTTTGGTTCCATATGAACTTTTGAAGTATTTGCTCTAGTTCTATGAAGTATGTTATTGGTATTTTGATGGGAATTGCATTGAATCTGTAGATTGCTTTGGGTAGTATGGACATTTTAATGATGTTAATTCTTCCAATCCAAGAGCAAGGTATGTGCTTCCACTTTTTTATATCTTCCTCTATTTCTTTTTTCAATGACCTGTAGTTTTCTTGAGAATAGGTCCTTTATTTCTTTGGTTAAGTTTATTCCTAGGTATCTTAATTTTTTTGCTGCGATGGTAAGTGGGATTTTTTTTTAGTTTCTCTTTCTGTGAGTTTATAATTGGTGTATAAGAATGCCATTGATTTCTTGACATTCATTTTGTATCCTGCTACTTTGCCAAATTTATTTATTAAATCTAGTAAATTTTTGATGGAGTCTTTGGGGTTTTCTACCAAAACCAAAACCTATAGTATCATGTCATCTGCCAATAATGACAGTTTCACTTCCTCCTTTCCAATTTGGATCCCTTTTATTTTCTCTTCTTGTCTGATTGCTGTGGCTAAGACTTCCAGTACTATGTTAAATAAGGGTGGCGAGAGTGGGCATCCTTGCCCTTTTCCTGTTCTTAAGGGAAATGCTTTTAATTTTTGCCCATTGAGTATGATGTTGACTGTAGGTCTTTCATATATCGTCTTGATTATGTGGAGATATGATCCCTTTATTCCCACATTGCTGAGTGTTTTCATCAGAAATGGAAGCACATCTATTGATATGCTTATGTGGTTTTTATTCTTCATTTTATTTATGTGGTGTATCACATTTTTTGATTTGCGAACATTGTACCAGCCTTGCATCCCTGGGATGAATCCCACTTGGTCATGGTGAATAATTTTTTTGATATATTGCTGGATTTGATTTGCTGGTATTCTGTTTAGGAATTGGGCATCTATGTTCATCAGGGATATTGGTCTATAGTTTTCTTTCTTTGAAGTGTCTTTTTCTGGTTTTGAAATTAGAATTATGCTGGCCTCATAAAATGAGTTTGGAAGTTTTCCTTCTTCATGAATTTTTTGAAATAGTTTGAGGAGAATGAGTATTAGTTCTTTGAATGTTCGGTGAAATTCCCCCGTGAAGCCATCCAGGACTGGGCTTTTGTTTGCTCGGAGAGTCTTGATTACCTCTTCAATTTCCTTAGTTGTTATTGGTCTGTTCAAGTTTTCTATCTCTTCCCGGTTCAGTTTTGGAAGACTATGTGTTTCTAAAAATTTGTCCAATTCACTTAGATTGGCGAATTTGTTGCCATATAATTTTTCATAATATTTGTTCAGAATCCTTTGTATTTCTGTGGTGTCAGTTATTATTTCTCCTCTTTCATTTCTGATTTTTTTGTATTTGGTTTCTCTCTCTTTGTTTCTTGGTAAGTCTAGCTAGGGTCCATCAATCTTGTTTATCTTTTCAAAGAACCAGCTCTTTGTTTCATTGAAACTTTGAATTGATTTTTGGTCTCCGTGTCATTTATTTCTGCTCTGATCTTTACTATTTCCTTCCTTCTACTTGCTCTGGGGCTTCCTTTTTTGTTTTCTTTCTAGTTCTTTAAGTTGTGAGGTTAGATATTCTATTAGAAATTTTTCTTGCTTCTTGAGGTAGGCCTGTAGTGCTATGAACTTCCCTCTCAGAACTGCTTTTGCTGCATCCCATTAATTCTGTGTTGTTGTCGGTTCATTTTCATTGGTTTCCAGGAAGTTTTTAATTTCTTCCTTGATCTCGATGGTAACCCATTTCTTGTTCAATAACATGCTATTTAGCCTCCATGTGTTCAAATGTCTTTGCATGTTCTTGTTGCAATTGACTTCTAGTTGCATGCCATTGTGATCTGAGAAGATGCTTGATATGATTTCAATCTTCTTGAACTTGTACAGACAGTTTGTGCCCTAACATGTAGTCTATCTTTGAGAATGTTTCATGTGCACTTGAGAAGAAATTGAATTCTGCAGTTTTGGGGTGTAATTCTCTGTAGATATCTATTAAATCTATTTGA